ACACCAACATGGAACTTGCCCCATTCTTCGTCACGATCGCTATATCGTCAACTTTAGCTTGAACAAGCAATACCATCGCTTCTTTCACCTGTTTTGCCCTCGATTGAGTCATCTGTCCGTCTTTCAGTAGCAATGGATCCTTCCCTGGACTTGTCCTCGTTTCGATGGCACTTTGGATCATATCAAAAGAGGCGACTGTTATAATAAATGTAGTGATGACGATAATACTGCAACATGTGTGATGCTTGCGACTATGTCACTTGAGTTACAAAAGCAACATGACAGTACATATGCTAACACAAGGTTTTTCGACTCAAGGTGTTAAATTATGAACAATCATGTGTGTAAAGATATGAGATTTCCTAGCAAATATACTAGTGCATAATGGTAGATGAATCTTCGGTCAGTGCTCGTGTACTGAAGATGTTAACTACATTGAGAAGTAGTCTCAATTGAGTTCAGTCATGAACCATGAACTAAGTATAGACGTTGTTCTGTAATCTCTGCCAGAGAATTATCCATAGCTAACTATGAATTTAACATGAATAAACTCAAATGCACACTCATTGAGTTGTTAAACATGTTTTTAAGACTGTTAAGCCCAATATAAGCAAATCTTAGTCATAGGTTTATCTAAGGAAGTCTAAAGGATGCTTTGGGAAATCAACCAAGATGGTTAAGACGGTCAAAGTGAATAAGAACAATACCAAATCTAATAACCCTTATTATCATTTTGGAATGATAGGTCATTTGAAAAGAAACTAGAAAGTTTATATCTACTTCATTAGCTTTTTGGGTATTAGATACCAAATATGGATCATATTTATAAATATGTAGAAATAAATAGAAGTAGACCATTGCAAAAGGGAGAAGTTGACATATACGTTGAAAATGAGCACATGTTGCTGCGTTGCCTCGATGAGCATACTTCTTGCTATTGCCTTTAGGCTTAGTATTAGAATTAGAGAAACGTTACTTTGTACCCACCATTACTAGAACATTAAATAAATTTCATGTTTGGACATGAATTATTTTAATGTTAGGGACAATTGTTATTCATTTTTATCTTGATAAGATCTTAATGGTTATGGTACATTACAAAATGACATTTATATTCTAAATATTGAGTATTATATAATGAGAATAGAAATTGAAA